AAAGTTATCGTACCACCCCAGTCTCAATCCAAACACACGAGTCCATAGCACCCGTCTCTTATCAATTTCATTCAACTTACTTTTGCAAGATTTAAACGACGTCACCACTGTACTTAACTATTACTCCGTGTTCTATCAAAAAAAAAAAAAACTATTACTCCGTAGAATTCACTTTATTTTAATGCATCTTTATTTATCAAAAAAGAAAAAAATCAATTTCATTCAACTACACAAACTCCTCTCTACTACTATCTACTACCTCTGCTCTCTATACTTGCAAACTGCGGCAAAAATTTAGCAGCATCGATTTTGATGGCATCATTGGCGAACTCGACTAAAATTTCATTACTTTCCACCAATTCAGAGGAATATCCTCCTCTCTGGAAAACTAAGTACAGCTCCAATTTTAGGGCTGCAAACAACTTCGTTATTAGCCCACAAGTGCATCTAAAATGTTCTCATGCTGGAGAATTTTAGAAAGCCCTTTTACGTGAACAACTTGAGATGCCATTATTAACCTGATAAAATCAGATCATAGCATATTTTCCTACTTCCATGATTAAAATTTAGAAAAGGAAGAAGGTGCATGTGCTTTGAGAACATGAATTCACTAAAATGTTCTTGTCAATGATATTAACCGCAGAATGCATTTTCCAAGCCCATTATCCTAGAAGAGCATAGAAACTATACATCTTCTGAATCCTGGAACGCCTTGAGAAGTTAATTTGTTGCTATCAAAGACAAGACTGAACTTCAAAAGAGGTATTGAATAAACTAATCACAAGATCTAACAGTAAGAGAACAGCATTGGTGTGTAGTCTACTTATTCCTCCAGGTTATATATCACACTTATCTGAGAACTGTGACGAGCTTCTATCATTGCAGGACCTTGGCTAGCAAGCTTCTGCTTGCGCGAAGAGAATTCTTCTGCCTAAGGAGGAGTGAAGAGTCAGCAGCATATTAGCAAGAAAGGGTCAGTGTATCTGTCCATCCTCAACGTCTAGGAGTTGTGCACATAATAGGAAGCATTCAGGTGGGAAAATGAAGTTTCTGCAAAACAGGTATGTACAATGATCTCCACAAACACGATAGCCATCAATACGTGCATTAATGAAAGAGTGACCTGCAGTCATGGAAAACTGGAGAACCTGATACCACCAAGGAATATTGCTCCAGATATTGAAAAGATAATGTTTATGGCTTATTTAGTGAGCTTATCCAATGAAAGGCAAAGAAAAGATGTTAGAAAGATGCAGATGGAGAACAATCAGGAAGGACAAAACGTTTTTAATTGCCGTTTCATTTGCAGCAAGTAAAATCAATCTCATCAAAAGTAAAGAGGAAGAAGAAAAGAAGGGACCTAGAAAAAAATTGAGATGCAACTGTTACTCTATTAGTCTCAGCGAATTACAATGGTTCAAGGGAAGAAGATCTCACGAAGAACCTTTCAACTAACTTAATTGGAAAGAGCAAGCCACTTAAATTTCATTATAATTTATTCCACTTCTTTCATGCCACTGCTACACAATGAAAGTCATAAAGTGCACAATATTAACCCTAAATCCATGAAAAAACATGTGTGTATTTGGTTTAGTCTAATAACGATTTTCGTAATCATGTGTGTAGGAAAAAACAAATTAAAAGTTGTCTAAAGTTTCTGTTGCAGAAACAGTCAAGGACAAAAAGTAACACTGCTTACCTTGTTGTGGTATTCGAGGTTAATTCCTATTAATTGACAACAATATGTAAACTAAGAAAAATGGAGAGAAAAAATACTTTTCTTCTATTTCACTTTGGACTACACAATATACAAATATATATATACACAAGTGGATACTATAATCATATGATACTATAATCATACTATTACCTAATTAATATATGATACTATAATCATATGATACCTAATTAATATATGATACTATAATCAAATCTTTCCTAATATTTATATTATCAAATCTTTCCATAATATCAGATCACATATCTTCAACACTCCCCCTCAAGCTGGTGAATATAAATCTTCCATTCCCAGCTTGACAACACTTTCATGAAACATGTTGCTACACAGTCCCTTTGTCATCACATCTGCAAGTTGAAGTCCTGTCGGAACATATGGAGTACAAATCAGTCCACTTTCTAGCTTCTCTTTAATAAAGTGCCTGTCTATCTCTATGTGCTTCGTCCGATCATGTTGCACTGGGTTGTGAGCTATACTTATAGCAGATTTGTTATCACAATATAGCTTCATCGGTTTGCTCCATTGAATCCTCAAGTCTTCTAGGATAATTTTAACCCACAATAATTCACATACCCCTGCTGCCATAGCCCTGAACTCTGCTTCAGCACTTGACCTTGCTACCACACTTTGTTTCTTGCTTCTCCAGGATATTAAGTTTCCTCCAAGAAATGTACAATATCCTGAAGTTGATCGCCTGTCAACTGGAGACCCTGCAAAGTGTGCATCTGTGTAAACTGCCAGATCAATTTCAGGACCCTTTTTGAATAAAATTCCCTTCCCTGGATGTGCCTTTAAGTAATGAAGCACTCGATAAACTGCTTGTAGATGAACTGCTCTAGGATCATGCATAAACTGACTAATAACACTGACTGAGTAAGCTATATCTGGCCTAGTATGTGCGAGATAAATGAGTTTTCCAACAAGTCTTTGGTACATCTCTCTGTCCACAGCTGTATCTCCATGAGCCTCACTTAATTTGTGATTCTGCTCAATGGGAGTTCCAACTGGTTTGCTTGCTGTCATGCCTGTTTCCTTGAGCAGGTCCATAACATACTTCTGTTGAGAAATAAAAATTCCCTGCCTTGATCGAGCCACTTCAATTCCCAGAAAATACTTCAATTTTCCTAAATCCTTTATTTCAAATTCCTTGGCTAGGCACCACTTCAAAGTTTTCTTCTCTACTTCATCGTTTCCTGTCACTATGATGTCATCTACGTATACAATCAAAACAGTAACTCCCCCCAAGGCTGAATGCTTGATGAACAGGGTATGATCTCCTTGACTTTGCTTGTAACCATTAGCTATCATTACCTTGGCAAATCGTCCAAACCAAGCACGTGGGGATTGTTTCAGCCCATATAATGCCTTTTTTAACCGACAAACCTTGTTCTTGTCAACCCCACTGAATCCCGGTGGAATGCTCATATAAATCTCCTCTTCTAACTCTCCATGAAGAAAAGCATTCTTCACATCGTATTGCTGTAATTCCCAATCAAAATTAACAGCCAAGGATAGCAGAATTCTCACTGTATTCATCTTTGCTACTGGAGCAAATGTTTCCCGATAATCTACTCCATATGTCTGTGTGTATCCTTTCGCGACTAACCTTGCCTTGTAGCGTTCTAGGGACCCATCTGCTTTAAACTTTACTGCATACACCCATTTACAGCCCACTACTTTCTTGTTCTTTGGTAAATCAACTAATTCCCAGGTCCCATTCTTCTCTAATGCATCCATTTCTACTTCTATAGCAAGTCTCCATTCTTTCTTTGATAATGCTTCAGACAATGAGCTAGGAATAGAGACTGTATTTAAGGTGGAAAGGAAGCTTTGATGGCTCGGGGAAAACTTCTCAAAAGACACAAAGTGAGACAATGGATATAGGGGTCTTTTGGTGCATTCTCGGGGTTTTTCCTTACAGCAATAGGTAGATGTAGGTCCTGGTCAAGGCTAAGAAGCTCAGGACAAGGTGATTTAGAGCTGGAAGAATGGTCGGTCGGTGGTGTAGAATTCAGATTTGATTCACTCATTGTTACCTCATTCCCGGAGCTTGGTTTAGAGGATTGTTCTTGCCTTGTAACCACGATGGGATCTCCTTTCCTTGTATACACTTGGTCAAACCGGAACCAGTCAAAGATTTTACGGTCTTCCTTTTTTTCTTCTACCACATCAGATTGAAGAATTGACTCTTGGAATTCAGATTTGGATGACTCAGATGTGGTCAACTCTAAGGAGGGAAATTTTAACTCCTTATCTTCAAGTGTATCTAACTCCCCCTGAAGATAAGGAGTGATGAAATAGGGCTTATTTTCAACAAATGTAACATCTGCCGAGACATAGAGTTTTCTAGTAGGTGGATGATAACATTTGTAACCCTTTTGAGTAGATGAGTACCCCACGAAGACACACTTAAGAGCACGAGGATCTAACTTCCCACGGTTATGACTATGGACATGAACAAAGGAAGTACATCCAAAAACTCGAGGAGTGAGATTAAAGGAAGATCGAATATCGGGGTAAAATTTGGATAGGTTCTCTAGTGGACTTTGAAACCCCAAGACCTTGAAGGAATTCTATTTATGACATAAGCTGATGTGAGTACAGTTTCTCCCCAATATGCTTTTGGCACACTTTGTTCAAACAGTAAGGCACTAGTGCACTCAAGAAGATGTCGGTTTTTCCGTTCTGCCACTCCATTTTGTTGTGGAGTGGCAATACAGGATGATTCATGTATGATTCCTTCTTTTTGGAAAAACTGACTCAAGGTTTGATTGAAATAATCACGAGCATTATCTGAACGAAAGTGTTTTATCTTGGTGCCAAATTGATTTTGAATCATTGCATGAAAAACAGGGAAAATATAACTCAAATCAGACTTATTTTTGAGTAAATAGATCCAAGAGACTCTTGTGCAGTCATCGATAAATGTGACAAACCACTTAGACCCTGAGATGTTTGGAATAGTTGATGGCCCCCAAATATCACTATGGATTAAAAAGAAAGGAGAAGACGATCATTTATTACTGATAGGAAATGGGACACGAGTGTGTTTAGCATACTCGCAAATATCACAATGAAAAGACTGAACATCAAATCCCTTGAACAAGGAAGGAAACATTATTTTTAATGCAGAAAAAGACACATGACCTAGACGTCTATGATGTAACCAGATGACATCTTTATTGGAGGGTGAAGACAATGTGGACAGGGCAGATTTACTAAATTCTGGTTGACTTGATGTATCCAAGTAATAGAGTCTATCATGCTCCTTAGCTAGTCCAATCCTCTTCCCCGAGCCCCGGTCCTGAAAGTCACAACAGGATTCATCAAATATAACAGAGCCAGCTAGATCCTTGGCAAGTTTTTTTACAGAAACCAAATTTGTAGATAATCGAGGAACATGAAGAACATTTTTAAGAATCAAATTTGGAGTAACTTGGACATCTCCGATACCTGCCACAGTGGTTGTAGTACCATCTGCAACAACAATCTTTCTATTGCTAGGACAGGGATTATAGGTTTTGAATTTATTTGAAATATGAGTCATATGGTCCGTAGCACCAGAGTCAAGAATCCAGACATTCCTAAGCTCATTGCCTAAAACACTAAATGCAAAAGAGACTAGAGCCTTACCTGAAAGTGTCAATGAACACATACCCGGATTCCTTGATTGAGAATTGTTAGTTGCTGGTTTGTCAACTGTCTCTAACATACTTTTAAGCTTCTCAATTTCCTCCATACTAAACCCTCCAATCACTTGAGTTGGATCTTGAACCGACATATGAGCCTGCCTTTGCTGGCCACCTTTTTGTCCCCATTCACGAGTGGGTGGTTTCCCATGTAGTTTCCAGCATTGATCTATGGTGTGTCGTGGTTTCTTGCAGTATGTGCACCACAACTCCTCGCGATTCTTTTGCCCACTTGTTTGATTGGTCTTGTCCGCAGCAACCTTGTTCAGTACCAACCGCTGAGATTTGGAACTTAAAAGGGCTGAATTTTCTATTGAAGGTAGCTCTAACATAATACCCCTGCGACTTTCTTCTCCACGTACTTGGGATATTGCTTCTGTTAAAGAAGGAAACTCTGGCCTGCCCAGAATTTGAATTCGTACAAGATCGAATTCAGAGTTTAGGCCAGCCAAAAAATCATAAACTCGATCCCTTTCTATGAACTTCTTGATAAACACTGCACATTTGCTACAGTTCAAAGCAAGTGCCCTGTAATAATCCAGTTCCTACCACTGGTTTTGCAGAAAATTGGCATACTCCGTCACTGTTTTTGTTCCTTGTTTTGCTCCAGTTGTCTTTGTCTTGATGTCATAGATAAGAGCTGCATCATTAACCTTGGAATATGTCTGATGAAGGGCATCCCAAATTGCCTTTGCTGTAGGAAGAAACATACATGTATCGCTGATTTCAGGAATCATGGAATTCCATAACCAAGACATGATCATTGAATCCTCTTGTTCCCATGCTTCAAACCCCGCGTTTCACTATCCGGTGCTATTTCCAATAGATGACTCAACTTTCCTTTTCCTTTCAGGAATGTTCGAACCAATTGAGACCACTTCAAATAATTTTTTCCATTTAGTCTATATGCTGCCTGGATGTTTTGAAGCTCTGTTGTGTTCCGTGTACTTTGTTCTTCTTCCATAGTTGAAGACAATTGCCGCGTTGAGGATGTAGCATCCGCCATGATTGAATAGGAGGGGGGGAAAAAAAATGTATAGTAACAGGAACAGCAATGAAGGCTGGAGAGAATAAGAAAGGAACCAGCAATTAAGGCTGGAATTGACAAGAAGCAAAGGTGGTATTTTTCCCAGAACCCTAGACGGGCTCTGATACCATGTAAACTAAAAAAAATGGAGAGAAAAAATACTTTTCTTCTATTTCACTTTGGACTACACAATATACAAATATATATATACACAAGTGGATACTATAATCATATGATACTATAATCATACTATTACCTAATTAATATATGATACTATAATCATATGATACCTAATTAATATATGATACTATAATCAAATCTTTCCTAATATTTATATTATCAAATCTTTCCATAATATCAGATCACATATCTTCAACACAATATATTAGTGAAAAAGATTGCATTTTAAAAAATTATAAAAAGGAAGAAACAAAAGAAACCAAAAAGGAAAATTGGAGCCAAATCCAGGACCACCTATGACCTAATCTTTTTGGTAATAGTACATTAATAGATGTTATGAGTTTATCTTGACAATTTTGCTCTTATTATTATTATTATTATTATTTTTTGTAACCCAGAATATGTTCCAACCCGAGTCCTTTGAATCCTAGCCGACACATTAAACTAGAGGGAACGCTGCGGCTCCAAGTACAGTTTTTCTGGACAAGTCACAAGGTATTTAACCGAACAGGTTCGATCTCAAGACCTTTGTATTCCAAGGGACCGCTACTACCACTGGATCAACCCGTGGGGGCAATTTTGCTCTTATTAGGTGGCCCTTCTGCTGTGTATCAAGATATTAATGGCTGTCAAGTTTGTTTAGATATTATCATGCCAGAAATGTCTTAAAAGCAGCTGCATCTCGGAGGAGTTGCATGAGAGGAAAAAACCAAACATATAGAGAATAGAATTTTTGTCTTGTGGGGTAGAAAGTAGAAAATATATGTGATAAAGGAAAGTTGAAGACTTAAGTCTCTGGAATTGAAGTTGAGGTCCAAGGCATGGGATTTCTTGCAGCAATTTATGAATGCTAGTACAATCTTTTGCCTTATAGGGTAGAGGTCATGAAAGACAAGCAAGACCAGAGAGGTGTTATTGGTATGTGGTTAGTTCTTCTTCAAGGCTCTTAAGCCTCCCACTTCCCTTTCTCCCCATAAGCTTGTTCCCACATCGGTGGTATAAGTATGTGTGTGTAGGATTTAAGGTGCTCAGGATTTATCCAGAAGTCAGCAATTGCCTTTTGGGTAAACCTGTGGAATTGCCTTAGATTCTGTGTGTGTGTTTATTATTTACTGTTGAAAGGCAGAGGTCATGAAAGAGGTTAAAATTAGGAAATGTTATTTGCGCTCCATTTTTTGTTATTTGCAATCCCATCATTTGTTCCATCATATAGTTTAATAAAGGGTTAATCGCACTTTATCCCATTTAAGTATAGGCCGTTTCTCACTTTACCCCCAACGTTTGTTTTTCCTCAGTTTACCCCTTCCGTCAGCAATTGCACCGTTAAAAACTTTAAGATTTCGAATTTACCGTACGAAAAGGGCCGTTGGTTTTAGCAGACAACAATGCCCCTCAATGGTGTCTGATGCTTTTAGCCTACCTTTTCCCTCAAAGAGCCGTTGGTTGGTTGGTTTTAGCCGTTGGTTGGGTTTTATAAAAGGAGGTATTTTGCACCCAATTTTTCTCATACATTCTCAAAGGTTCCAAAGTTTCTAAAATTTCTCTCCAAAGTTCCTAAAATTTCTCTTTGTCAACCAAAAGCATCATAAAATGTCACAAAGTGCTTCAAATGATGTTGGAAGATCACCCCAAAAAATGTGTAGATGTGGTAAAGAGGCACCATTGTGCACGTCTTGGACACTTGAAAATCCGGGAAGAAGATTTTACGGCTGCTCAAATTACAATGTAAGAATTTTTCATTAATAATTTGTTAATATTGTCTTTAATTTTGCTCTATACCTGAATTAGTTAGAAAGAGTTTAAACAACTAATTATTTTTTTAATTTAGAACCGACACGCATGTGGGCACTTTGAATGGGTAGATCCTGAAGTATGTAGCCAAACAAAAGAAGTAAGTGCAGTGCTGCAATCTAGATTGCTGGAGCAAAAGGAGAAACTAATGTACTTGCAAAGGAAGCATGAAAAATTGGCAAATGAGCATGAGAAATTGAAAAGCAGATATGAAGCCTTAAAAACAGAAGTCTGCGTCTTACAAGTTGAAAACCAACAGCTACAGCAACAATACATGATGGTCAAAGCTGCTCGATTTTCATCATGGAGAAAAACACTAGCCATTACATTTCTGATTGCTAGCATTTTGTATATGTACTCTATTTCAGAACCAAAAAGTAACAAAAATCTGCTTTATCTACCATAGTTGTAAGCAAATATGTATGAAAGAAAATTATATTAAGTTAAAAGTATTTTACACATCAGATTACATCTTAGCATGTGTCTGCATGGCCACCCAAACAAAGGCCATTTTAGTAGAACCCAGCCAAAACATGATTCTAGAACATGTCCAAATAATGGGAAAAGAAAAACAACATCAGCATTTCTAACATTGCTGCAAAGGTAACTTCAAATACTAGTAATGACAAAAATAGCAACAGCAACACCATTTCACATCAAAACACATTCAGGTGTGCGCATAACTGTTGAACGTCCAGTTGCAGCAGTTGAAGATCCTTGGGTAGAAAACACAGCATCTCCAAATCTAATACTCTTGGTTTGAACCTACATGGATGAGGGGCATCTTAGTGCATCAAACTACTACTAGGGGTGGTAGCATGTAAACATAGCCAAAAGACTTGAACTCACCATTCCAGTTTTAGTAGCACCTGAATTGGTTTTAGAACTTCCAGTTTTAGCATCACCCAACTTGGTTCTTGGTCTTTTAGTTGTTACTGAAGTGGTTGCTTTTGAACTTGTACATGGTACGCTGGTGGGAGCAACAACAGTAGTTGAACTCAAATTGGCACCAGATGTAGGTGTTCTTGTCCACTGTATCATCAATAGGAAACAATAAGTGAGCACGTATAAAATGGCCATGCATGCAGAGTTTTAAAATGTAGGCTTACCAGTTGGGTTGGAGGGGGCTGGCCAGTCTTTGAAGTACTTGGAATCTGCATAATAAAGGTAGTTTTTAATCATTGCAAGTGTCTAAAATTAAATTAGTTACATACAAATACAAAAGGAACTCACCATGCTAGACTCAAATGGGATATATGTTTTACTTGTTGATATCCCTTGACCATTCCAAAGTCCAATGCCACATAGTGGCCCATTGTTATGGTCTGAACCCCTACCCTTACCCCTGCCCCTACCTCTACCTCTCATTTTAGCTCTAGTTGGGCCTCTTGCAGTTGTAGATTTAGTCACATCAGCATTTTGCACAACATCAGCATCAGTATTTCTCTCAACATCAGCATCAGCATTTGTAGAGTGGCCTCTACCAGCTCCTCTCCCTCGTTTAGTAGGCCCTTGCATCTTGCAATACATCAAAAAATGACAGTCAGATGTAGATAGAAAAAAGCCAAGCAACATATATTGATTGAAGTTACCTGTGCAGTCACTGATTTTCTTTGCCTCACAAATGAACAACCAGTGACCTTGCAACTTCTGGCATTGTGGTCAGTATGACCACAATGACTGCAGTGAATTGGCAGCCCTACTTTAGATAGTTTTCCAACATGTAAGTCCTCCAATGGAGCCTTTTTTCTAACTTTCTTAGGCCTGCCTGGAGCTATCTTCCTACGAGGTGGGAGTAATGTATCACTGCTAGCATTCACCCAATTTGTTTGGTCTGGCATAGGCATAATAACACCAGCATATGCCTTTACATATGTTTCTACTGAGTAGCAATTATCAACATATGCATATGGATCTTTGTTGTCTTGCACAAGTCCAGCACATGCATGGACACATGGAATTCCTGTCATATCCCACTCATTACATGTGCAAGACCTTTGAACTGCATTAACAGCAAAAGTTCCTACTATACCAGTCACCTCATACACCTCTCTTGTAGACACAAGTGCATCAAACTGAGCTACCTGTTTTTTCCTCTCTTCAATTTTCTGACAGATCCTCGGACAAATATGAGACTTCACCTTCTGAATCCAGTCTCTTTTTTCTTGAAATCTGCACATAATCTGTCTTCGAATGGCCTCAAACATAGTCAAAATAGGCTCTTCCCTAGCATCCTTAATGTATTGATTGAAGCTCTCACATATATTATTACTTAAAAGGTCACATTTTGTCCTTGGAGAAAAGGTGTGTCTGGCCCATAGGTTAGCTGGTATGGAACTAAGCCATGCATGTGCTTCTGGGGCTACTAAATGTAACTCTCTCATTTTGCTTTCATAATGACAGGGTAAATAAGCCCTGGCTGCCCCCCACATTAAATCTCTTAGGTGCTTATCCTTGAATTTCAGTTTGAAATTAGCATACATGTGTCTAACACAGAATCGATGCTCCACTCCAGGATACTTATTCTCAATGCAATCAATTAATCCCTGACATAAAAACATAAATAACAGAATTAGTGAAAGGAGTGAGTGAGGAATAAAGGAAAGTAAATCAGATTGTAGTGGTGCTGACCTTTTGTCTATCTGATAGAAACACCCAACCCCTTTCAATTGGAGTGCCAATGGCATCAGTAAGGCTGTCCAAAAACCACCCCCAACTATCTTTGCATTCAGATTCAACAAGTGCCATAGCAATTGGGAACATCTGGTTATTAGCATCCCTACCAATTGCAGACATAAGCTGTCCTCCCATGATCCCCTTAAGGTGACATGCATCCAGTCCTATTACAGGCCTACATGCATTTACAAAACCTTCTTTTTGTGCAGTAAACATCACAAACATTCTCTTGAAGATTGGACTTTTACAAATATTGGACTTTTCAGTTACAATAAATGCCACTGAACCTGGATTTCTTTGTAAAAGTGTAGCACAATAGTCTCTTAATCTTGCATACTGCTTTGCACATGACCCTTTCACTGCTTCCTCTGCTTTCTCTCTTGCTCTATACATTTGAGAGTTTGTACAGTTCAGGTTATACTTCCTTTTTATGCTCTTCTTGAACCCTTTTACTTTCATATCCGGATGGTCAGCAATCTCCTCCATAAACATCCTAGACAGCCACCTAGAATTTGCACTCTTGTTCTTGAAAGACCATGGACATCTATGAGGTACGCCTTTAATGGACTTCACTTGAAGTGTAACTTTGCTTCCATTATAGCCACTAGCATATATTCTCCATCCACATTTATTTGAACATATAACCACAGCTTTATCTTTGTCATTCTTAGTGAAGGTAACTTCAAACCCATTCAAAATTGAATACATTCTAACTGCAGCTCTAAAATCATAAATATTGCTAAAAATTCTGCCTACAGTCAATTCAGGATTTTTTAGATCCCTTTCCATGTTAAACTCAGGAAATTCATGCTCCATGCCTTCATCATTTGAATCATAAACTGGTTTAAGTATTTCATCATCACTAACATCTTCATCATCGACCAGTTTTCCATGACCTTTGGAGTTAAGGTATGCATTATATTCTTCACTAATCAGTGCCACATACTTAGCATAATCAGTCTGTTTTAGGTGACAATCTACTTCACCACCATCCCTCTCTACATCATCTATAGGGTCACATGCATCATTTAAATCATCCCCATCTAGGAAAAAATCAAAGTCAGAGTCATATTCAACTTCCCTACAACCATCCCTATCACCTTCCTGTGAAGCATCTGAAGCATCACTTTCGGCCTCATCATTTTGGGGTTGATCAGCATTAGGATTTAGATTTTGTTTACCATTAACCTCAATATTATCCTCTGCAACAGTTCTATCAGCATGCAAATCTTCTTCAGGGATCTCACCAACATAAAGTTGTATGATGTTTTGAGTTCTATTTGCCTCAAACATTTCTATAACAATCTGGTCACTGTTTAACAGTTTAAGACCAACCTTAAAGTCAAGATTCCTAACCCTATAGTACACCTCTGTTTCATGTGATATTCCAGCATCTTTAAAAGCATCTCTTAACTCAAAAATTGACATCAAATCAGGGTCAACATCATCAAAATTAGCAACTTCTCCCCCCACATACTGTAAATTTGGGACATAGGCAAAATGGCCTCCGTAGTGAACCTCTAAAACATAGGTTTTGAAGTCCATTCTTCTGTAATCACACAAAGGTAATTGTTTTTAGTGCATGCACAGGTAATACAGAGCAAGTATCTTTTATTGTCCCACAAAAATAAAAAATCCTAGTTTGTCTATCTAACAGCCAACATATAACCATCCAAATAAACAAAAAATCCAGCAAATTAATAATTAAAAAAGACAAACCCATCGTTTTCCATCCTAACCCGACAATGACTTGTTATGAACTTTAAGGGACCACACTAACAGATTTCAAACAAATAATTGTCTACATATTAAAGCCCATGCAGTCATTAAAAAAACCCATACCATTGTTTCTGTGCAATAAAATTGATTAACAATTAGAAATTTCTAAAATCGAAAAAAATTGCAAAATCGAACCTCATAGATCTGCCCAAGCTCTCATAATCTCCTTTCACAATCTTCAAATTCAATTCTGCCGTCTGTTAACAACCACATCGATTACCCATTTTTTCATTCAAGATTGCACCAGAATTTTCAATTTTGTTAGTGGACGTTTTGCTAAGGCTTCGGGCACCAGTGAAGAGAAAGTAACCCGACAAAGAAAAAAAGGAAGAGAAAGTGACCCGACATAGTCAAAAGGGGACCTTTGTCTGTTCTGTTCCCTAATTTCTTTTTCTTTTTCTGTCCCATGCCAGATGGAGGGAAATTTCCCTCCATTATTTCAGGGTAATTTTGGAAACTTGCATTTCATAAACCAGCGTATATGGGTATTTTGGGTTGTTCAATGTTTTCATAAGGATATTATTGTCTTTTCAATATTCGTTTATGTCATTAGAGTTGACTGTTAGTTTTTGGGGTAGACTGAGGAAAAACAAACGTTGGGGGGTAAAGTGAGAAACGCCTATACTTAAAGGGATAAAGTGCGATTAACCCTTTAATAAATGAAAACTATACGATTGAAATGATAGTGGAAGTGTAATTAACAAAAATAAGAGTGCAAGCAACATTTCCCTGAAATTATAGTAAAATGTTATAGACCCAAGGCATGGAATTCTTGGTACAATATAAACATAATGGTCGATTGAAATTTTGAGAGTGACGGTTTGAAAACTAGTTCCCAAACAATATAATCACCTTAGAATAATAAAAAAATTCTAAACTTCAATTCTTAATCTGGCAAAATTCTTCTCTATAGCTAATTCTACTAATTTAGAAAATGAGTTTTTCATCAAAGTAACCATCAAAAATTTATTTTAACCCCAAAGAAAAAACCATCGAAATTTACAAATTTCTAAACACAATTACGCGATTTAATTCCAAAACTGCAACTGTAACAAAAATAAATAATACAAAAAATATAAGGCATAATAGGAGTTCCGATACTAACATTCAATTGAGAGCTCATTTGGATCAGTGGTTGGAGGGAGCCCTAATTCCCAGACGGAAGATTTTCATTTCATGGAAGACGCCAGCCAGCCAGAAGTGTCTCGTCCTTCGCTGCGGCTGGTGCTGTGCGAGCTCATAATCCTCCTGGCCCAACCGCGACGTATAGCAGACCCAGCTAAAACAGCGCCAGAGCCACAGGCGACACCTATGAGATAATTCACAGTAAACATCGCCAATTGCTTGTAGGGATGCATCGATCGGCCTTACGAATAAATAATACAAAAAATATAAGGGCATAATAGGAGTTCCCGATACTAACATTCAATTGAGAGCTCATTTGGATCAGTGGGTTGGAGGGAGCCCTAATTCCCAGACGGAAGATTTTTTGCTACTTCATCCTCTCTCCACGGAGTTCCCTTGGATTCTATTCGCATTAGATCTCTGTGGTCTCTCTCGTAAGGCCGATCGATGCATCCCTACAAGCAATTGGCGATGTTTACTGTGAATTATCTCATAGGTGTCGCCTGTGGCTCTGGCGCTGTTTTAGCTGGGTCTGCTATACGTCGCGGTTGGGCCAGGAGGATTATGAGCTCGCACAGCACCAGCCGCAGCGAAGGACGAGACACTTCTGGCTGGCTGGCGTCTTCCATGAAATGGGTCTCATATTTCCGTGCTTTGAATGTTAAGGCTATGATTAGCCATTAGATATTAGATGCTACTTATTTCAACCCTATATTTCTTGTTAAAAAAAAAAATTTGAGAGCTCATTTGGTGAACATAGGGTTGTGATCTCCATGTTGCACACATAAATTTTCTTTTCTCCAAATGAGCCCGAAATTCCGTTTGAATTAGTTTTTTGGAATATTTTTGAAAAACTTTGCTGTAGCAGAGTTTTTAGAGTATATTTTGGAATATTTTTAGAAAATATTTTGAAATATTTAAAAGTAGAAGAGTTTTTAGAATATATTTTGAGATATTTTTTAAAATTTTAAAAAAATTAAACTAATTTTTAGATTACTTGTAGCGTACTTTTTAAAAATTTTTATTGTATTTAAAAAATTAATTTTTGAAAAACACTCCGAAAACAGGAGAACCGGCGAAGTCCATTTATTTATTTACTTCTTTTGCCTGCGATTGCTTCATTTATGGCCTGTTCACAAAAGCCTCTGAAAGATGTGACCATGTTTAGAGAGAAATTAAAGGAAGGCTATTGGGATGATTATGTATATCTGATTATTCGGTTGTGTATGGTGTCAGCAGTTCATGCTTCATGAATGCTAGAAACAGAATGGCTAAATTTCGGAGATTTATGTCTTGGTGAGTTGAGATTTTTGATGATCAGTAGCCTGCTTTTCAGTTTTCACCTGTCTTGTTTGGCAATTGATACAATTGGGGAAAATAAATCAAGAAAAGCAAAGCATAAAACAAGGGAAAAACTAACAGGGAAGCACAGCATTTGCAAGACTGTTAAGCATGAAACTTGCAGGCATCTGTGATGCTAACACTACTCTTGATATCATTACTTTGATTAGCATTTTGTACCACTAAAATCCTGATTGAAAGATGACTGGTTATCATCAGACTTGTATTCATTGAATGAATAAAGAACTTTACAGTGAGGTTTTTCCTATAAGATCAGTTGCCATTTGATGGAATACCTGAAAAAAATCTCCACTGCTAAACCTGCACTTGAAGCTAAACTCATTTTTATGCTATATATTGAATCATCTTAGTACCTATAAACTCGCGAACAAGTTAAAGTACAGCAGGTGTATTACTACTAGCATAAATGTATCAGTTTGCAACTTTTTCTCGCATCCATTTTGTAGCTGACCATTTCTCTCCTCCCAATACTTCACATCCTCCATGTATGCTATTGGGGTCTGATTCTCCATCAAGCCCCTACAAGAACCAAAAAGAGAAATTGATGAAAGCCACAAGAACTCATCATGCTATCTCTAGTTCATCTAAAGAGTATTGTTTCTTTAAAAGGGCAGAATTAATTTCTGACACATGATGACACAATGAATGCTACAGAGTGCTGCAAAGATTCTGTTGATTTAACTAAATAAAAAAACTGGTCCGGATCAAAAACCCAGATCCCTAAGACATACAGGAAAATGATCCCAAATGTCATAGAGCTTAAATTGCTGAGCTCAATTTTCCTATTATGAAGGTCTCGCAAAGCACCTAATGCTGCTGAAGCTTCTTTCTGGTCATTGATCGGAAAATTTGTATAGTTCTTAATTCCCAGAACTTAAAATTCAATGCCTAATGAGGCCCCCAAACTGCTGAGGCCCTCAAATACATGCACCCACCAAATGACAGATTCGTTCTTTCCACTCAAACTACTACTAGCTAATTCTCTTATCCAAGAAGCAACTATACTGAGAAAAAACTTAAACGTGAGACTCAAACCAAAGCAGGACATCCTGCCCCTACCAGAGAGCTACTTCAAGGGCAAATTATTACTTTTGGCAGTCTATTAGTCATTTCATATATAAAGTCAGTCTTTACAAGGGAATAATGATTAACAATTGTTAGAAAACAAACCATGCTCCAGAAAAGTACAGCGTCTCCTTTAGCAGGTTTTATGCACAAGCCTTTAACCATTTTCCCACCGCAGCTACATTCCCCTGTACCAGCCTGATATCAACAAAAATTACACCCAAAATAAGTAATGTAGCTGAAACTTGAAGAAAACAGGCTAATTGACGGATGGATAAGAGTGGATATGTGGCATATAGATGACTCGTCAAAAGTTCTCAGATAACAATCACAAGTGCTGGAAAAAATCAATAGAGCTGTCAAAAAGCTCGTAATTGCAGAAACTTTTTTAATTTTCCTTTTTTTTTTGCCTAGTCATTGCAGAATTGATGTCTAAATTGACTATTATCTCCTCCAATATCACCTAAGCTTTTAGGTAAAGTGATAAACTAAAAAAAATTTATTATTTCATTTTTATATTTGGCTAAGGTAAAGGACTGTACATATTCAAGGTGCCTACAAAACTACAAATGTCCAGAATCAATTCAAACAAGAGCATATACATGGTAGAGGTATAGGGTTAGCAAAACATACAGCAAAATAAAAAAAAATTCATGAACATCACATATTCAAGTATGCATATGTTTGCTCTTCAAGGGCAACAGTACAAACCTAAATAGAGAAATTTTGTAGAAAAATGCACTGTAGCAATTTGATGCATGTGAGGTAAAAGTGGTTGGAAAATGTGCTCATGAAAACATAAAAATTTACTTAGAGAACTGCAATCCAAACAACACTGTTTCTTTAATTTTTCTATCTTTAATTTCAAGAATTCTAATCCCATACTTATTGCCATAAATAATCCTGGATTCTTGACATCTTATCTAAAATGAAAAACCATATTTAAAATATATGAAAAGAAG